TTATGCAAAGACAGCCAAAACTATGTCTTGTCACACATCACTAAACGTTTGAGTGATGATGAAAACCAGTTTTTAAACACCCGCCTAACCGGCGCGGAACTAAAAGAAGCCCTTTTTAAATTTGAAAACGGAAAATCACCGGGCTATAACGGATTTCCAGTTGAATTTTACAAAACTTTTTGGCACATTTTAGAAAAAAATTTTGAAGAACTTGCCTACGAAATTCTTTTTGTAGAAAAAAATACTAGCCACTCTATGAAAAAATCAATATTTTCACTGATTCCCAAACAAGGAAATCTTACTAAATGCAAAAATTGGAGGCCCATATCTTTAATCGGCGCTGATTACAAAATAATCACAAAAGCGCTGGCCCTAAAACTTGCAAAAGTAATGGGAAAAATTATAGAACCAAATCAGACTTGCGGAACTCCAGGTATAAACATTTTTTCAAATTTACATCTAGTACGTGATCTTATAGATTACGCTGAATTTAAAAAACTACCTAGTTTCATTTTGACCATAGATCAAGAAAAGGCGTTTGACAAAGTCGATCGCGCGTTTCTGCTGCAAATTCTCCAAAAATTTAATCTCGGAGAAAACTGTTGCCGAAACTTCTCTCCGAGAAGTTTCGGCAACAGTTCTGAATTGCGGCTTCCTGTCGACCTCCTTTCTTATAGAAAGGGGTGTTAGACAAGGCGACCCTCTCTCTCTTTTGTTGTACGTTTTTTTTGCCGAATCTTTGGCTTTGGTGATACGAGCGGACAGCAGAATAAAGGGTTTTCCTATACCAAGAGCACCGAAACCTCTAAATCTACAGCAGTACGCAGATGATTCGAACTTTTTTCCCAAGGACGTAAAATGTGTCCGTTATTTCTTTGAAAACGTAAAAATCAAGGGTCTTGCTCTTGGGGGTTTTGATCCCGAAATTTATAGAGAGTTGGATAACATAGAGTAGAACGACGACACCGGTTTTAAAATTTTAGGTGTTACCCTTTATACCAGATTGAGCAATACTACCAATTTTAACTGGCAACTAGTTCTTAAGAAAATAGAGAAAAAGCTCAAGTTTCTGAAACTGTGTACTTTGTCACTTAGAGGAAAGGCTAATTTGATAAATACACTAGCAATGTCAAAAGTGTGGTTTCTAGCAAACGTGTTGCCCACTCCTGATTGGGTAATAGAGCGTTTGCATAGAGCCATTTTCTAAAATCTGTGTCAAAAGATTAATTATAACCCGGTCAAACGAGAGACACTTTTCCTACCCGTCAAAAGCGGGAGTCTCGGATTATTATCACCGAAGGAGCAAAGTCTTGCGCTCCGCCTCAAAACGCTCTTCCAAATAAAAGAGTGTGAAGAGGGCAAAACTCACGATTCTTACTACTTTTCAAAGTATTGGTTGGGAAGTTCACTTGTAAAATTTACTAAACAAAACCAAAGCTGGAAATTTTTAAGACAAAACGCTTTTCCAAAACATTGGGACAACAAAATGTCTCAGTACTACAAAACCACAATTGAATTTTTAAGCAAATACGGGTCCCTGTTTAACATCCCCCTAAAAACAACAAAAAATATTTATTTAGAAGTGGCAAAAACCAAAAAGACAGTCGTGCCAGCTGAACTATTCTGGAACAGTTCAACAAAAATAACAATGCCGTGGACCCAGATTTGGAAAAAAAACTTTACTTCCCACGCGTACGGACCAAGACAAAACATCCTCTTTCGATTTCTTCACAACAGCTTACCTTCCGCTGCCTTGCTTGCCAAAAGCACAAGGCAACAGATCGTTAAAAACAACAAATGTAAAACTTGCGGAAAAATTGAGGACAATCTGCACATCTTTGCCTACTGTCCTCCCTCTGTTACAATATGGGAATACTTTAAACATGTATATAACTCCTTGACATCCCAAAACAACTTTTCTCCAAAAAATTCGATATTTTCGATTGAAACTGCGAATTTATCGGAGAAAAACCCTAACTCGCAGCTGCTTTTGACAATCACTCAAACCATCATGAGTGAAATATGGAACAGCAAATGCCACCATTTGTTTAACAATTCAAAAATTGACCTAATGGCAGTGATCAGGATAATTATCAGAAATATCAGAGACATTATTACTTTAAGATTAATTACCATGTCCGTAGAAACACTACGGACATTTTCTGTCAAACTTTTTGTATTAATAACGTTATTTGTCAAATAGAAAATGGGAACCTAAAACTAAACATATGAGCTGAACAAATACACTGGCTCATAACAAGAACTAAATGTTTAGTTAAATGTTTCCTGTTTTCTACAAATATAGTTTCTATAATAACTACAAAAATATTGTTATTTATGATTAGACAAACACTGCCGGCCCTTATATAAAGTATTATTTGCATGTTTCTTTGTAGCTTTTAGTAACAAGGTAAATGTGTTAAAGTCCTGTACCTTATTATTATTTTACTTAAAAAAAATTTTCTTCACTTAAAATAATTAATTCAACTTAATCAATTTCTTCTAAAACCTTTTTCTTATTCTCGATTTCTCTCCGCACAAAGGCATTAAAATATATATATATATATATATATATATATATATATATATATATATATATATATATATATATATATGTATATATATATATATATATATATATATATATATATATATATATATATATATATATATATATATATATATAAAATCAATAAATACAAAAAAATATAAAATCAAAAAACACGGAAAAAATGAAAAACTTATAAAACAAAAAAAAATATATATATATATATATATGTATATATATATAGTCAAAAAGATATTTTAAAGGAAAAATAGGCATATATATTATAAAATATATTCTATAAAATCAATGAAACGAAATATATATATATATATATATATATATATATATATATTTTTCGTTCATAATAATAAAAAAAAAAGTTTTTTACATAGGTTTTAACATTGATTTTATAGAATATATTTTAGAATATATATGCCTATTTTTCCTTTAAAATATCTTTTTGACTATATATATATATATATATATATAATATATATATATATATATATATATATATATATATATATATATATATATATATATATATAATATATTTTTGTTTTGTAAATTTTTTTTTCCGTGTTTTTTGATTTTATATTTTTTTGTATTTATTGATTATATATATATATATATATATATATATATATATATATATAAAAATATATATATATATATATAATATATATATATATATATATATATATATATATATATATATATATATATATATATATATATATATAAACGGAAATATTTCTTTAATTGTAACAAGGATATATTTATTTATAACGCAGAAATAGTTTATAAAATTTGTAAATATTTATTATTTTGTAATAAAAAAAAAAAAAAAAAAAGAAAAGCGTTAAAACGTTCAAGTTGTTAAATGCTACTTTTACTTGCATTACTTTTGTGAAACAACAAAAAGTATATTGTATAACCTATTTTTAGTTTTTACTTCTCTTAACTACGATGTAACACATTTACAAAATACAAAGAATAACACCTTTTTAGATTAACAAGTTTTATTCTGTATTATTTTGTAGAGTGTTTTAAAGAAACATTTTTTATGTGTAAAGATTGCTTAAAAAGGCGATTTTAGGGGTTTGTTGGCCGACTGTTCCACCCCCACAAAAAAGGCAATTTTAGGGGGTTTGGTAGCGGAGTGTTCCACCCCCACAAAAAAGGCGATTTTCGAGTTATAGTCGGTTTTTTGAAGAATTTAGTCGGCTAGTTGGGTATTTGACACAATTCAGTCGGGTGAAATTTAGTCTTTAGATTTTTAGTTTTAAGACTTTTATTTTTTTTAAAAAACTAGTCGGTACTTTTCAAGCATTCAACCTCACTTATATACATAGTGGTAGAATTTATGACCTTGAAATCATTAGTTTTTTATTTAAATAATAAACTATATTTTTGAGTAAAAGTTTTAGAAAAAATTGTAAAATACTGTAAATATTCAATCATTTTTTTTTAATATAAATTTTATATAAAATATTTTATATAAATATAAAATTTTATATAAAATAATTTTACAGTTTTTAGTAACTTGTAGGCCAATTTATCATAGTTGCTACTTACAATTATAATAAAAAAACTGAACAAAATACTGAGAAATATGGTTTTTAAAGAAGGCTTTTTAAAATTTCTTTAATCTTTTTTACCATACAATTGTCCATAGCAACTACCTAAATAACTAATCTTTTTTTTAAATTTCAAAAATTTCCAGAAATTTCCAGAAATTTTGTTCCCGAGTTAAATTTAGAGTTAAAGAGTTAAAAAGTTCCGAGTTGAAATTATGCACTCGGAATGTTCGGTTGTATACACTGAATCAACGTTGATTCATATTCATCGAATCAATGTTAAGTTTTAAACATTTGATTATTGTCATTGTCCATCGTTAAATCAACGTATATGAACATTGATTTAACGTTGGATCATACATACTGTATCAACGTCGGGTTTAAATCATAAAAACAACCAAATTTTGCAATGATTTTACAAATGTTGGACCAAAGTAATTGTACAAGCTGTTTTTACTTGTGTTGTTAATGTATATATACAGCTTTAATATTTAATTACACTATTATAATGTTAATTATCACTTAACCATTATAACTATTATAATTAATAATAATAATAGCAACAACAACAATAAAAATAATACACACACAACACAGGCTTTTTTTATAAATACTAATTGTATTTAACCATTAAAATTTATTACTTAAAATCATTATATACAAAATATTCACAGCAATTTATTTAAATAATGTACTATAAGTAAAATAACTAAAAATAATATTTGAACTTTATACTATTTTAAATGTTATTAAAAATAATAACATCTAAAATAAAAAACTAAAATGTTAAAAATTCACCGAAAACTAAAATTTCTTTCTAAAAAGCAACATTGGAATCACCATTTTAAACAAATATATTACGTAATCTTTCTGTATTATGTGAAATTGTTTTTTAAAAAACGAAGAATAAGAAATTAGTTATTCTAGCTAATAAAATTTATAATAAACCTGAAATATATACTATTTTTTATAAAAAAGGTCATAAATTTAATGCTTCAAGCACACCTTATGCGAAATACATACTTCACATATACGTCAAATACATATTTCATTTACGTACTCCAAATACATACTTTATATATGTACTTCAAATAAATCTAATGTGAAACAGCATTTTATAGTCTTTGCTACGCATTACTATTTTGCAAGACTTTTTTGGATAAAAACCAAAAACGAAGCATTTTTAATTGGATGACCTGATCGCTTAAGTAGTGGCACCCTTCGATAACCTAGTATCAAAGTAAAACATATAATATACATAGTAAAACATAAAATCAATTTAACCTTTCTAATTTATTTACCACCTTTCTAATAATGTTTTTAAAAATTCTTTATTTTCAAATAACTTTCAAACTAATAGTGATTGCTTGAGGGTAAAAATTTCTCAAAAAACAAGGGGTTGCATCACCAAATTCGCTGAAATTTGGCACAATTTTCTTTGTAACGATTTTTATTTATTACACCTGATGACGCTGATCACAATAGATCAGCGAAATATCGAAAAAAAATATATATATATATATATTTCTATATGTATATATATACATATATATATATATATATATATATATATATATATATATATATATATATATATATATATATATATATATATATATATATATATATATATATATATATATATATATATATATATATATATATATAGGGTGTGTCGATTTTTTTTTTTTTTTTCAATTTCAAAAACGGCAAGGTTACTTTTGGTGAAGAATTTTATGGAGATTCTGAATCTGCAAAAAAAAAAAATTTTAAATAATGTCTTTCTGGGTGGGTCAGCGTTGTTTTGAACGGGAAAATGACTAAAATATGACTAATTAACAGGGGAAACTATAATTAAAAAAAAAAACTTTTTCGAAAATTTTTGATTAACTTAACAATTTTTATGTTGAATTTTAGGAAAATTTAATATTTGGTTTAAAAAGTCATAAAAAGAAACACAGAAAAGGAGTTTTTGTGAAGTGTATTTTTACATATATCACGCACTTTTTTCATATTTTAGACAAAGAATGTTACGGTAAAGTGTATTGCTTTTTCCTTGTTTTTATCAAACTTTAAAAGTAAGGGGAGTTCTATTTTGTGAGGAATTTTATGGGGAATCTGAATCTGAAAAAAAAATAAAAAAAATAAAAAATGTCTTGCTGGAGGGAACGTTTAGTTTTCAACGAGAAAATGACTTAAATATGAAAAAAAAAATTATAAATAAAAAAGAAAAAACTCTTTTTAAATATTTGATAAACTCAATACAAATTATGTTGAGCTATATAAAAATGTCATACTTTGTTAAAAAGTCAAAAAAATAAACATATAATGGGGACTTTTATGAAGGTTATTTTAAGAAAAAGTTTCAATATTTTCGTGTTTTAGACAGAGAATGTTACCGTAGGGGGTGCGCTGACTTTTCTTAAACTAATAATAAGTCAAACAATTTTGTTATAATAAACAGTATATTATATACTAATATATTTATAATATATATTATATAATGCAAATGTGCTTTATTAAAAATTAAATATAGTTAACAATTAATAATTTATAAATTTTATTTAAAATTTGTGAGTCCAACTAAGTTATATTTAGCATTGTTTTTGCTCATAAAACCCCTACTGATTTCTTGTGCTCGTATATATCCTTCTCGCTTCTCGTGGGAATATGTTTTGGCACAAGCCTCTGTAACCTTTATTAAACATTTAAACAGTTTAGTTATTAAAAGATTTTAAATGAGTTATTACAGTCTCGTAATTGTATAAAATAGAAACCTGTTTAACACAACGTTCGACAGATTGGGAATGGCATGGCCATTCTGGAACAACCATAGGCTTGTGAAAAAATTTTCTGACTTCATGGGTTGTGAGGCTTGTGGTAAGTAGTGGTTTGTATATTGAATCTTTCTACTTAATTAGATTGGTCAAATTATCAGCATCAGTATTTATGCATGGGGTTTTGCGAATTCTTACTGAATTATCTCCAAACTGGGTGTTATCATCTCCTACACCTCTAATTCTGTTCTGGAGTTTTTATCACACTGTTCTCTTAATAGAACTGCATAGAACTTAATAGAACTGCATAGAACTGTCTCTATATGTTGGAAGTTCAGAGAGTAACAACTCCTTTCCAGTACCAATGAATTCAGTTAAGGAGGTTTTTTTCATGTTTCTTGTCTTTATCAATAACTTTTTGTTAATGGTTGCCATAATTTGTTCCACAATTTTCAGTATTTATTTTAGTTTATATATAATCAAATTTTCTTCATATAATCTTATTTAATCACTTTTATAATCAAAAATATATTTCATTGACATACTTGTCACTTATTTATAAGTAGATGTGAAAAGTTATTATATAATAAAAGTAATGTAATTCCAATTTACAACTTTAACAGCTGTTGTTAAAAGAAAATACAATTTTCTAAAATCGACTTAAAATAAAACGTTTTGACGATTTTTAATTAACTAAATGAAAAGTTTTATTAAAATTCAGCATATTGGGTATTAAGTTTATTTAAAATAAGCTTAATACTTATTATGAGTAATAAACTTATTTTTAAGTTTATTGTAGTTTGATAAAAACAGGAAAAAAACAATACACTTTTACTGTAACATTCTTTGTCTAAAATATGAAAAAAAGTGCGTGATATATGTAAAAATACACTTCACAAAAACTCCTTTTCTGTGTTTCTTTTTATGACTTTTTGAACCAAATATTAAATTTTCCTAAAATTCAACATAAAAATTATTAAGTTAATCAAAAATTTTCGAAAAAGTTTTGTTTTTTTAATTATAGTTTCCCCCTGTTAATTAGTCATATTTTAGTCATTTTCCCGTTCAAAACAAGGCTGACCCACCCAGCAAGACATTATTAAAAAAATTTTTTTTTTGCAGATTCAGAATCTCCATAAAATTCTTCACCAAAAGTAACCTTGCCGTTTTTGAAATTGGAAAAAAAAAAAAAAATCGACACACCCTAATATATATATATATATATATATATATATATATATATATATATATATATATATATATATATATATATATATATATATATATATATATATATATTATAAATGTATAATTAAATACCTGTTCTTATGGCTGAAAAAGGTATAGAGTACTGGCCAATAAAATCATCAACTCCCATGTCACTATCACAGAGTGCAAATCTAATATGCGCTAGTTCAGGTGCATACAAGTCAAATTGAAAATCTTCATTCCATTGAGGATTGAAACCTAAAAATTTGAAAACTAATTGAAAAAATGATGTTTCAGAACTAAAAAAACAAAGTCAGACAAAAAAAAAAAGTCAGAAAGATCAATTAAATTGAATTCTTACAAACAATATAAACCACGAAATAATAGATCGTGAGAATCTCATATTTTATACAAAATCAAGCATAGGATATCTTCCGATCTCATAGATTGAAAGATACCCTGTGTTTGATATTTTTAAATACTTTAATTTGTAGAAAAATTTAGCTAAAATTAAAAGCACAGGTTACATAAAATGTTTTTCCTATTTTTTTCATTTTTTTTCTTTCTTTTTCGTAACTGTCATTTTTACTTTTTACTACCATTTTAAATCTAAAAAGAACATAAATATGCTAATAGAAGTACTTCCATTTCTAAACCTATGAATAAGGGTAAAATAATATTTAAATATTATGAAATATTGAAACTTTTGAACAATGCAAATACAAATAAATATATTAGCAGTGCCAAGGTTCATCCAAGAATACTTAAAGAATGTCATTAATTATAATTAATGACATTCATGACAAATTAATGACAAATTAATGACAATTAATGACATAATGACAAATTAATGAAAATGTTTATAATTATAAACACAGAGATTATAGAACACCTAATAACAAATAGTCTGATTTATGTGCAACAACATGGATTCTTAGTTAAAAAATGTCAGAGCCTATTAAACTTATATACATTTGGATGAAAAAAAAATAAAATAAAACTAATGTTATTTACCTTGACTTTGCCAAAGTATTTGACACAGTTCCTCGTAAAAGACTTGATTAAATTACAAAATCATGGTATCAATAATCACTTTGTCTCATGAATTACATTATTTAAAAAGGATTATTAATGAGTCAAACTGAATTAAATTGGAAAAATGTTTTTAATGGTATTTCACAAAGTTCTGTTTAATGGTTCCACAAGGTCTTACCACAAGGCTTAGCAAAAATTATTAATTATGATACAACACAATAATTTGCTGCTGCTGATGATGAAGATGATGCTAATGATGACCAAAAAAAGTCATTAATCAAATTATCAATATAATAACATTTAGTATTTGAATGATCAAAAAAGTCTAACGGTAAAAAGTGCCATTTATGTACATAGGGAAAAACAATCCTCGCATGTTACCTGCATCCAGTTAAGATTCTCCTGCATTAGGGCTTTTGATTGAGTAAAGGCTAGATATAGTGTTTTAATAAAATGTTGATTCCATCAACAGCTGTAAAATATACAAAGTACTTACTGTGCTATGTTGGACATGGATGGTATCACTGTTAATGTTTTTGGTGTGCATTGTCAAGGCAAAATAAGGAACCTTAAGTTATGACTTTGGGTTAACTGAATCTTATTTTCCTGTCTGCTGGAAAATGGCATCTGAGGTTCCAATTTTTAATAACTTTGGTGAACGTTCTGACCCCTCCTACTAGCGTCTGATCAGTTTTCTCTTTTTTATTAGCAAGGACTTTGAGTCTTTGATTAACACATTTCTGACATCCCATCTTGAGTCAAATAACTTACTATTAGGCAATCAATATAGTTTTAGATGGAGGCAACAAGGCTAGGGCTATTGCTCCTGACGTATTTGAACCTTTTAACAAAGTTTAGCATGCTAGTCTTTTCTATAAGCTTGCTTTATATGAAAGAAGAGTTTTTGGAATTGTCAAATCATTTCTTTTCTATTCATTTTTGATGGCCAACACTATTCATCATTTCCAGTAACTTCTGGGGTACCTCAAATTTCTATCCTTGGTCCTGTTTTGTTTCTTATCTACATTGATCTTCCTAACAACCTTATGAGTAAAGTGGTGATGACTCAACTTTATACTCCTATCTTGACAAAAAGTCATCTCTTTTCAATTTCTTAAAACAGGCAGCTGATCTTGAATCTGATCTCACTTCTGTTACAGATTGGGGCTTGTTACAACTTGCAATTATTAACTTCAACAAAACTCAGTTATTTAAGCAAATAATTATCGCAATACTGTCAACAACTTCTCACTGAGTCCTCTTCTTTACGTCTTCTTAGATTATTGTTCACTACTGACCTCTCATGGAAACCATATATACATATGATTAGTTAGAATCTGCTAAGGTTGCTTCTCTTTATCATGCTTGCTATTATCTTACTTCTGATTCCATTCTCTACTCTACAAATCCTCCATGTATGGAATACTGAATACTGTCATATTTTGGCTGGTTCATCTGATGATGCTCTTTCTCTTTTAAACAAGGCCCAGAAATACATTGTAAAGGTAGTTAGACCTGCTTTATCTGCCTAACTTGAGTCTCTCTTATTGTCTTATAGCTGTATCTCTTTCTCTTTTCAACAAATGCCATCATGGTTGCTGCTCAAAAAAATCGTTACCTCATCCATCTGTTCCATCATCAAAAACTCATTCTTGCTTGACTCATCATTCAGCTAAATCACATCTATTTACTGTATCTATCCCTACATGCTCTAAAAACTTATTAATCTTTTTTTTTAATTTTATTTAGGTGCCCCAAGAAGTCCTTACAGAGCACCACAGATAAGCATTTAATTAGAATTCACACCTCCTTACTAACCAATGTTGCAAAACTTGCCCAGAGGTAGGGTTTAAACCACAGATCCTTAGTTGAACCACTGTGCCACAGCTGCAATAATAATAATAATAATAAAATCTCCCTATCTTCACATTTTCCTGACTCATTCAATCTACAACTTTTCAAGTCTACTGCCAACGGTTTACTTGTTTTAAAAAATTCTTTATTTTCAAATAACTTTCAAACTAATAGTGATTGCTTGAGGGTAAAAATTTCTCAAAAAACAAGGGGTTGCATCACCAAATTCGCTGAAATTTGGCACTAATGTTTAAAGATATAAGTTAGGAAAGACTGTAAAATTTTTTCAAAAAATTCTTAAATCTTTAAGATTTACAGCAACTTGAAGTTAGTTATTTTTTGACTGAAAAAAGAGGGGGGATAAGGCAGGAAATATGTCAATTTACCATTACCCTTATAACAAACTTGTAGTAATATTGCAAAGCTAAAACTTGGTACCAAAGGAGTTTAAAACCTGCTGAATCTGAAAATCATAAACTTATATTGCTCAAAACAATAAAATATAGTTTATTTTTAGATCCACAAGATGCACTTGTTAATGACAATAAAAAAGGCCATTGACAATTATAGTTCTAGAAAAAATCTGATTGATGAAAAAAAGTTTTGGTTTTCATTATTTTAAATATTAAACATATATCTACTTTGTGAACCAATTTTTATTTGGCCTTATGTTTTATCAAGGAGTTATTGATGTTTTAGTTTTTCAATTTTTTTAAAGATATTTTGCAAAAAAAATTTTGAATACAAATACAATTATTTTTGTTTTGTAATAGCTTTGTAAAAAATTTACAAAGTTATTACAAAACATAGTTGAACATTTTATAAATTTGTTTCTTTTTACTTTCATTACATAATAATAATGTTATTTTCATTACATAATATCATGTCATTAAATTTAACAATATTATGTAACTTTTGTTGTTGTTTGTTTTGTTGTAATAAAACATTTATTATCACCAATAAAAAAAGTAATAAAATGATATAATGTTTAATTAACAATACCATGTTAAGTTACATAACTAAATAAAATTATATTTAGTTATCTTTTACTTTAACACATTTTTTTGTAAGAAGTTAATGGAGAATTTACAATAATTAGTAGATAGTTAGGCATTTAAAATATGTCTATTAAACTACTATAGCTACTTGTTCAAGCAATATGTTCTTTATAAATACATATTGATATGATATTGTTTGTGTTCAAGTGTACTTTTCTTGAACAATCATATACTCAAGAAAGAAATCTGATTGAAGATATTGACAGCAATGATCGTAAGCTACTTGAAAAGCAAACAAATCTGAAACAAGAACAAATTACTAATATATGCACACACCATCATGATATGTTAGTTGTAAGATATGAGGGTAATCAGAAAAGTTGCTGTAATCCATTTCTGAGTCACCAAAAGGTGTGTAGAGGTAAAAATTTATATATTTATATTTCATTAGGTAATATCATTATTAATAAGTCATATAAGTTTTTTTGGTAATAAGATTTGTTCAATGTTTCATAGTTATTAATAAAACAAATTGTATAGTAATATAATTACATAATATATATATATATATATATATATATATATATATATATATATATATATATATATATATATATATGTATATATACATAATTAATGTTATTTAAGTAATGTAATTACTTTCTTTTAAGCACCTCTACGTGTGATTACAATGCATACTGTGTTAGAAGCAGAAACCATAGGTTTAAATCTTATACCTGGAAAAAAACTGTGTCCAACCTGTCGAAGTAAAGTTATGACATGTTTATCAAAAAGTATAAGTGAAAATAAAAATGATGAAGATTTTGATATTGTTAATGAAAGATCCATTCAAAATAAAAAAGAAAGTATAGATACACACTTTGCATCTGCCGGAGTATCTCCAATTAAGGTCAAAGGATTGCACAAGTCAGGTAAAATCAGAGAAGGTAAACGAAAATTGACAGCATTAACAACCTCCATTAAAAAAAAAGGTAGCCATTTCCCTTAATATATCAGAAGAAAGTTTTGAAGAACAGTCAAGTTTGAATAATGAGTATATGGAAAAAGCAAACTTGTTTGATAACATGATGGTATTGTTAACTAACAAAATTGCAGAGTCTACATCAACATCAAAAAAAGTACAACTTGCGACACTTGCTCCAACAGACTGGTCAATAAAAAAGGTATCTGAAACATTGCATGTAACAAACTATGTAGCTCGAACTGCACGTAAGTTAACATTAGAAAAAGGTATTTTAACCATTAACAGTTCAACTGGTCAAGACCTTTTACGAAGATGATGAACGTAGCCATATAATGCCTGGTAAAAAGGACTATGTAAGCATAAAGAAAAATATCCACATGCAAAAACGTTTGCTCTTATGTAATTTAAAGGAATTGTTTGTTGTCTTTAAAACCAAGAACCCAGAAATAAAAATAGGATTTTCAAGGTTTTGCACCTTGCAACCTAAATGGTGCATTACTGTCAAGCATTATACCTAAGATCAAGAAAGGAAGATATGAATGAGGTAATAGCATTATTTCTGGGTGATCAGAAAACTATAAATTTGTAGTTCAGGATGAAGTGCAAAGCTTTCATTGGACAAATTTAGAATGTACACTTTATCCAGTGATTATTTATTTCAAAAAAAAAGGCATTCTCAAGCACAAATCCTATTTTATTATTTCGGTTGATATGATCCATGATGTGAACATGGTTTATAAAATTATTAAGGTTGTTTGCAATGATATAAAAACAAATTTGCCTCAAATAAAAAATATTGAATACTTTTCAGATGGGTGTGCAGGTCAATATAAGAATTGCAAAAATATGTTAAATCTTTGTTTCCATTGTGAAGATTTTGGTTTTACTGCTAAATGGAACTTTTTTGCAACTAGTCACGTTAAGCAACCTTGTGATGGGATAGGTGGTACAGTCAAACGTCTGGCAACACTAGCGAGTTTGCAAAGAGATATGGATAATCATATTTTATCTCCACAAACAATGTATAAATATTGTAATGAAAACATTGAAGGCATAAATTTCATATATATTTCATCAGAAGATTTAACTTTGGTGAGAACCGCTCTTAAAGAACGATTGGATACTGCTAATACAATACCTGGAACACGTAGTTACCATCAGCAGTTTGTACCACTTGGCCATCAAAAGGTAAATTATTATTTTTTAATTACACCATTTACCATATTTTAAAATACACGCATAACTTTTATTGATTAACTCAAATAGATATTAGATTTTTGCAGAATCATTATCAAAAATATTTGTATTTTATTTTATTTCCTCTGCATTTGCTATCTATGCATTTAATAAAACATATTTGATAAGTAAAACGGAATAATTACATATATTACTATTTTGTTTAGGTAGGCACTAAGCTATGCAGTGATGATGAAGAATTTGCTTTAATTCATGACTTTGGAAATATCCAGATAACAACTGTAAACCTAGTACCAGGTGATTAACCCTGTGTTTCCTATGAGCAAAAGTGGTGGATAGGAGTCATTGAAGATATTAATTTGGAAGAAAAAGATGTGCTTGTAAAATTTATGTGTCCTAATGGTACTGCACGGTCGTTTAAATGGCTACCAAAGGAAAGTCAATGCTGGATTCCTGATGTCCACATTATTTGCAAAGTTGAGGTACCGATAACAAGAACAGGACTTTGCTACTATTTAGCCAAAGAGGACTTAAGAAAAATTATTTTCCTAAGGAAGTAGAGATTTTTATATTTATGAGTCTATTATGTCTTATCCATTCTTTTTTTAAATATTATGTTTTGTGAACCAACTTGTAAATAATGTGAATGTAAAGCATATGTAAAATCACTAAAATTTAGTATTTTTATAAAAAAATTTATATACATTTAAATTTTGTTGTAAATATCATATGAAAATGAAAAAGATAATAAAGTCACTAAATTTTTAGTTTCTAATTTGATTGATTGGTAAAAGGTGGGGTTATATTAAGTGTCTAATTTAAAAAATATTAAAAAATTTTGTGTCTATATCAAACATCAATAATTCCTCAAGTAAATATAAGGCCAAAACAAAATTGGTTCGAAAAGTAGGTGTTGATCACATTTTTAAGAAAATCGAAATTAAATTTTTTTTATATCAGTCAGATTTTTTTATAGCTATAATTGTCAATGCCCTTTTTTCTCGGCGTTATAAAGTGTATTTTATGGATCTTAAAATAAGCTACATTCCCTTGTTTTGAAATATAAAAACTATTTTTTTCGGATTTAACAGGTTTTAAACTCTTTTGGTATAAAGTTTCAGAATTGTGGCATCACTACAAGCACCATATTAAGGTGAAAGTAAACGGAATGATTTTCGGTACTTTCCCCCCCTCAGTTTTTAGTCAAAATCAAGGAAACTTCAAATTGCTGTAAATTATTAACGGTAAGGAATTTTATGACTTTCCTAACATATGTTTATAAACATTTGTGCCAAGTTTCAAAAATTTTGGTAATATAGGGTGCAGATTCGTGTTTTTTTGTGTTTTTTGAGAAATTTTTACCCTTGAAGCCTTTTTAGGAGTGTATTAAAATATATTTAAAAAAATGAATTTAAATATAAATACTCAAAAACAATAATGTAATAAATTGAATACATTCTTCAAAAAAAAAAAATCATATTACCTAAACCCAAATGTAAAATAATGTAAAATGATAAAAATATATACATATTTTTTGATTATTAGCTAAATTTATAAGTTGGATAATGAGGAAAGCTGTATGTTTTTTACCCCCTATCAAATTTGGTTGGTAGGCCTAAAGTATCTACAACCAAAATTGACACTTAAAAATATCTTTTGAACAAGACTTAAAAAAGTATATACTAATTTAAGAGGAAGTGTATGCTTTATAAAAAGAATATAACTGAAATAAAAATATCAGTAAAATTACCATTTCTTTTTACTTTTTTTGTGATAAATTTTCCCAGAACTTCATCTTTAGGGATACCATGTATGTTTATTCTGATATAAGGATCTGGTATCTAAAGTAAACACACAAAAATTGATTTAATGAAAATAATGAAAATGCATATAGGGATTTTGATTGATAGAAAAAACTTATTAGATCAACTACTTTTTCTTCCTATGCTGGAGTATTTTCTCAACTGAATGATTCTTCAAAAATGTTTCCCAAATATCTATTAATTAATTTTTTTTTTTCAATCATCTAAACTTTATTTGTTAGTCTGAAAAATATTTTATTTTTTGCATTCGCATAAGTGGCAAAACCTACAGCTATTCAAATTAACATTTCTAATTATTGAGCTATCCATGAACATAAGATTGCAGAATACAGCCATGTATTCTGCAGAATACAGTTTTGACAACTGATGAACTCTGATACAGTCTTTTGCAAAAGTTTATAATTAGTTAAGTATTTTTAAAGTAAAACAATAATTTATTGAAAATGACATACATGGAAGCTAAGATTTAATTTATGTTATATACATACACATGTGATTTGTGTTATATACACATGTGATTTGTGTTATATACACATGTGATTTGTGTTACATACACATGTGATTTGTGTATAACATTTAATTTATATTATCAGCCCTTAGAATTAGGGTCAGCATTCAGCAATGTCGACCTCGTTTTTTATGTTTTATGATAATCCCTTTGTTTCGTTTTTTTTTTGCTGACCTGATGCCAACCTCTAACAGTTTGAGGTCGGCAGGTTATTGCTGATCTTATTTTTCCTAATTCAGAGGGTTGTATTATATACATACATGTGTATGTATAAAACATAAATTAAATCTTAGCTTTGTGTATATCATTTGTGTTGTTGTCATTTGTCATTGTGTCATTTTCAATAAATTATGGATTTACCTAAAATATAATTAACTAATTTTAAACTTTTGCAAGAGATTTTGCTGATCTACTTTATGCTCAAAATTGTTGATATTAGTGGCATTGGCAATCTCATCTGGCAAAAGGTTCCAATTATTTGCAACTCAAATGTTAAAAAAGTTATGCTTGACTCTTATACTTTAGATCATTAGAAAGTTAAACATCAAGGTCTTTTTTAAACATTGTAGAACCATTTGACACAATTTATGCTATGATATTTCATATAATAATTAAATAATACTAAATAATAGTTGTAGCATTTTAAGTATTACATAATTAGTATATTAATTATTTTATTTATTATATAGTATATTAATTATTATAATTATTATTAATTTAAAAAAAATTCTTATGCCAACTCATTATTTACTAAAGTTATTAATAAACTTCAGCATGCAAAAAAATGAATTGCCAGAATCTGATCTTTCTACAAGCCAAAATAATTTAATATAATAAAAAAATCATGGTTGAATATAGTAAGAACCAATTACATTTTTTTAAAAGTATTATAGAAGTGAAAAAAATGACAAACATGGTTAAGTAAAAACAAAACAGGTTCCAGGTACTCATTTGCTACACTTCTTAGTGCCAGTTAAAAATTGCGACAATTGAAAGAACATTTGTACTTCTGTAGTACAATAGAAATAAATTTTAAGTTTAGGAAGATTAGTTGCATTCTTTAACTTCTGTTTAGTTACTATAGCTACAATAGATTCGAAGTATAGCCAATAGATTTGAAGTATAGCCAATAGATTTCAAGTATAGCCAATAGATTTGAAAAAAAAGTTTATGTCTACACTTAGATCTGTAAAAAATCTGTAAGAATTAAAAACTTATAATAAAGTAAAGATATGAAATCAGGTGACACTTTGTCAAAAATGAAAAAAACTTAATTTAAATTAAAACTACAAATTAATAAAACACAACTTTAATTTGATCTTTAATTTAAATTCAATATTGATTTATATTTGTTAAGTAAGTTGAATCTACAGTTGATTGATTAATATAAAAATAATTTTCAAATAAAAAAATTCAGAGAGTTTTGACATTCTCTTAATTAAATGCTCATAAAAAAATGTAATTTATTGTTATTGAAAAAAACAAATTTAGAAAAAACTTCTTCGTTTTTTTCAAAAAAAAAAAAAAATGCAACTTACAGTTTCATCTTTTGAAGCTTTTGGAAGCAGATGACCACTTATAATCTATTTAGAAGTGATCAATTATAAACTACTTATTTTAAAATAGACAAGAAAGTTAATAAGAAAGCATAAATATACTCAAATAAAAATTCATTCTAAAATTACTTCTTATACTAAAATAACAAAAAAAAAAAAAAAAAAAAAGTAAAATCTTTCAGCAACAAATTAAATATATCTAGCAATAGTAAATATATGCAATAAATATATATGTATATGCATGTGTGTGTGTGTGTGCGTGTGTGTGTGTGTGTGTGTGTGTGTGTGTGTGAGTGTGTGTGTGTTTGTGTATATTTATTTGTAGTGAATAAATTAGGCCAGTATACACTTAAATCCAACAAAGCAGTTTTTCATTAGAATTAATTTTTTTTTTAATTCTATTACGTTTTTATTCAAACATTTAAACTCATTTAATTAACTATTAATTATTAAACTCATTTCTATTCATTCATTCATTTCTATTCATTCATTCTTTCTTTTTTTTTCTTCAAAATTATTTGCGACCTAGTTAATGTCGAGTGCTAATGAAAATCTCTTAACTAAAATTCTCTCATTTTAACAATTTTGAAAATATCTGCATTATTATGTAGGATCTAACTGACAGCCTCAGTATGAAACTGAAAACCTCAATATGAAATTGCTGAGAGACTCAATATGAAAAAGAGAGAAAAACATATTTAAAAAAGAGAAAAATTATATAGAAAAAAAAATATATAAAAAACATATATAACTTTTAGTTATTCCTTTATAACCTGATTATCATTTTTATTGACATTTTTAAAAATGAATTTTTTTTTTTTAACAATCTCTGCATCAAACAAAAACCATTTTATCTATGTATCAAGCCAATACCATTTTTAACTCAGCATCAGGCCAATACCATTTTGTCTACAATTATTCAACATAACCTTGTACCTTGAGTTGTGCACCTAACCAACATGTTGGTAAAAATTTTGATAGCAAAATATCAAAGCTGGTATTAAAAATATACAGAACATATTCAGAGAGAAACATTTTTTATAGGCCTCTTTTTCAATAGAAACATTTTTTATATGCCTTATTTTCAATAGAAATATTTTTTATTAGCCTCTTTTTCATTAGAAATACTTTTTATATGCCTTTTTTTGAATAGAAATATTTCTTATATGCCTCCTTTTCAGTAAAAACTTAGAAGAATAAATACCCAAAGGCTATTTAAGGGAATAGGGGGAGGAGAGGGGTTGTGTGAGACACCCCCTTCTCCCCAAAGAAGGCAATCTTTAAGTTATAGTCAGTTTCTTGAGACTTTTTGGCTAGTCGAGTATTTGTCACATTTCAGTTGGGTAAATTTTAGTTTTGAGGACCTTTTTTCTTTAAGGAGTCAGTCAGTACTTTTTAAGGATTCACCCCCTCATTTTATTTGTAGAATCGCCTCTGTAAATACCATATGTTTATATTTGAGTTTTAAATAACTATTTTTAAATTTAAAACAGAAACCTCACCTTGATAAAAACTTTACAAACACCATTTATTGATTTATCAATATTTTGTGGATCAAAATTACCTGAAAATAAAGTTAAACTTATAAAGTTTATTTATTTATTCATAAACTTGTTTGTTTTTATTTTGTGAAATCAGCAAAATATTGCTAATATTATTATTTGATGTTACATTGTTAAAAATTAATTTTATATTATTTTTATTATTTTATACATTAAAGCTACTACAGCATTATTCTTTTCGCTTTGTTTTTCTGAATAGAATTAACAGAAACTTTTAATTTTTCAAATCAATTTTTTAAGAAGAGTAAAAATGAATCAGAAAAATTTATACACAGTGAGATGTAAAAATCCAGAGTTACATTAAATACAAATTTATGCAATAAAACGAAGAACAGATTTAAGCATATTAACAAATATGAATAAAATTTCAAATTTGCTAAGATGCTGTTTTTAATCAATGATTTTCAAAAGTCACTAATTTTCTTTTTAATGGAATAATATGTCTTAATACATATGTTTTATTATACTTCGCATTACAATTCAAATTTTAAATTTTAATTTCTAGCTGAATGAGAATTTGATTAAAAGCAGGTTAGTATATAATGAGTTGTACACTAAACGTTTTTTTAACATTTCATGCAGTCATTTAGAAACAACTGTATAAACTTAGAAATAACTGTGTAATCTCATTTTAAAACTTTCATAAAGTCTAATATATCATAAAGAGCGAAACAGCATCTTCACTACTAACATCAATTACTGGCATCTCATGATCTTGGAATATATTTTTGTTTATGGATCAATTTTGATACCATTGGAGTAAGTAGTAGTCGTTCCCCATTAAACAATGTGTAATCCAAAACTCCATTTAGTTATTTTATTGTCTCTCATCATTACAAACAATTTTGAAGATGAATTTGCCAATTTTGAAGATGAAGTTTGCCTAACTGAACCTTCTACCTCGGTTGTACCTTGTACCAAGGTCTGCCATTAACTGAACCTAGTACCTAGGTCTGCCATTAACTATAATAGTAAATTTTCCCAAAGAATGTTTAATTCTAAACTTGTTAACTCTCTTTAATTAAACAGTTAAATGTAAAAATAGTTTAGCTTCAAAAAAAGCTTCAGTTTAGCTTCAATTTAGCTTCAAGTCCAGAAAAACATAAAATTCTTTGGGAATTTTATGTTTTTTTGATTTTTTGTAACAAAGTCTATCCTAACAAAATCATTATTGAATATTGATAGTTAGTAAAAAACAAAATTGCTTAAGAGCAAAGAAAGCGAGAACAATCTTTCAATAAAAGACATAAAAATCTGCAGTGTTAGGATATGGTGTTAGGATATAGTGTTAGGATATAGTGTTAGGATATAGTGTTAGCATATAGTGTTAGCATATAGTGTTAACATGTAGTGTTAGCATATAGTGTTAGCATATAGTGTTAGCATATAGTGACAGGAAAACAAAAAAACAGGAAAGAATTCCAAAGCATCAATTTTAGTGGAAAAAACTATATGATTACAACTTTTTGAGCATAAAATAACAGTTACAGTAAAAGGATGCAACTTAGCTAAATGAGAAGTTTTAAGTTTTATGGTTATAGTTGAACCTTGCATTGAAAATTTTGGCTTTGGATCTGAACTTTGTGGATGGACACTCTCTCAAAATTTAAAATTCCTTCAATTAAATTAATGAAACACTTGCAGGGAGATCAATATTTTAATCCTGCAGCAAAATATAAGAAATGGAATGAAACTATCGGTGAAGAATATACTTGTGGTTTTAATATGTTTGTGTTGGATCCAATTTGCAAAACATTTGACTCGTCATGAATTTTGAAAAAGATTAGTATGAAAAAATAAGTTTTGATTTATGAAACAAGGAACAATTATTTGAGCAGCAACCATAGTAACAGTTGTAGAAAAGAGAAAGAGATGCAACCTTATGACAATATTAGATATATTAGAGGTTTAACTGCTAAAGCAGGTCTAAAAATATTTACAATAAATTTTTTGCATATTCTCTAAAAAGAGAGAAAGTCTTATTAAAAGAACTAGCCTAAACATGACAACATAAACATAACATTGTTTTAATTCAATATTTTATTCCATAAAATGTTATAGAAGAGAATTAAAGAAGTAGAAAATGAAATCAGAAGATTAAGAATTTGATAGACTGGCAACTCCTAACTCCAACACTGGAGTATATAATTTCCAGCATATAATATCATTAACAAGTAGAACCACTATAGAGAAAATGTTTTCATGATGAATGAGCAACAACACAGAACCTCAGATAGAAGCTTGTAATCCTTCAGAATTTTCTGGAATTTTCAGAAATTTCACAATAATATAGAAATTAGAACGAAATGATTCAATAATTTAAAAACTTTCTTATATATACCATACAAAGTGAGCTTATGGAGAAGATCAGCATTCCAGATTTTATCAAAACACTTTTATATATCAAGAGCAATAGCCCTTCCTTCACCATTTCCACCTAATGAAGGATAGATAGATCAAAAGCTACATTAAATGTCAGAGAGTAAGTTGTTCGACTCAAGT